TATCTGCACCAATACCTACAAGCAAGGCTGAGCCCACCTTTGAACCAGACTTGTTCACACCCTGTACTGCCCATACCAGCCCCCAGAAGTTGAGCCCTCTGAGGCAGAGAAGCAGCAGAACCAAGCAAACAAGTCCACGTGCCAATGCCTTCATGCAGATCTACAGTCCAGTCCACCAGCAGATTTCCCCAGCTCTGTTCCTCTCAACACAAATGCCTCGTGCCTGGGGTGGCAGCTGAAACTGGACAGAAAACAAGGGACCTCTGGAAGTGTAAGTCTAATCCCAAGCCTGCTCTCCATCATTTGGGCAGAAACGAGTTTAGGAACAACATGGGAACTTCTGTTTTGACTCAACCAGCTTTCTGCTATTGCTCAGCCTCATAGGGAAATGCCTGTCTCTAGCTATTGCCTCTGAAGGTCCAACCAAATATCTCTCTTTGTAAAATACCTGTTAATTTGTGAGACTTACAGATTTGAGAAAAGTATCTTATTGCTAAAGCCAGTGACAAAAAACCCATGTGGGCTCACTATAGCTGCAGAAAGTCTAAGAGCTTTAGGTTTTGTGCAGCACCGAGACAAAGAGGGAAATCCTGGCCCCACTGAGTGCCAGAAGAGCCAAGACATCACCTTGAACATGGCCAGTCCAAGATTTTTATCCTTCTTTGCAGGTCATGGGCCAGTGGAGCAGCACAGTCTGTGCCAGCCCCCCCACAGAGGCTGCGTGTGCAAGAGCAGGACTCACTGGCACGCTCGGTCTGCAGGGTGAAGTCAGCCCGACCCTGACGTTACATAGTCTTAACAACATCCAAGTGTCTCATCTCAGAATTGGACACGTCTAATAAAAAAGACAAAAGGTTCCCAGGATAGTAGGTTTGTTTTCCCGCCTTAAAAAACCCAATGAAACAAACAAAAAAAACCCTTACTTTTCAAGTCTGCTCATTTGAGACCTAGGTCCTCCTGTCTTGCCTGTTCCTTCCCTCCTCACTGGCTACCTGAGCCTTTTCTCCAGACATACAATACATTTGGTCTATAAAGAGAGCATTCTCCATGTACAGCTGCGTTGGAGTAACTCTCAGAGGCTCTGAAGCGCAGCCAACATGCAGAAATATAAAACCCAAGAGGACTGAGTCTTGTTTCACCTGAGACGCGTTTATCTCATGCACAGCACTGTTCTCAGAGGGAGCTGACCATTTCCACTCAGACATAAGAAGCAGGCATTTTTGACAAGATGTTTCTGCACTCAAAACTAACCAGAGGCTCTTGATTTTGTGGGGTTTTTTAAAACTCCATTTTGTTGGAAAAAAAACCCACCCTGATGCCCTGTATTTTTGCAATATCCCCACAGCAGAAATTAATGTTCCCTTTAGACCAGTTAGGTCTAAAAGAGAAAAATTATGAATTAAAATGCAACAGGAAACAAATGATAAATCATTTATGTGCTGTTGGTAAGTATTCAGATATGATGATTAGAAGTGCTGAACAAAATGCCTGAACGGAGCAGAAGAGAAGATCACACAGAAGGGATGAACTCCACAGTGCTGCAATCACCTGAGCGGAGACTCACGCCTCTGGCAGCAGGGTGAAAGCAAGGGAGCTGCACCAGACTCCCTGTGACCCACCAGAATTTCATGCCAAATACACAGGCCCTGTAATCTGAAATTCCCCCAATGAAGAACACACATATAGTACTTCCAAAGCAAGTTACAGAGGCACCCGGGAAATTCCAGGGCAGCATACAAGGGGACTGTATCTTACAACGTTATTCCAAAACTTGACCTAATACTAAAGGCAGTGTGCTTGGCTGGCACGTGGAAAGCACACCATAACTATGTTCTGCTGCTTTTCTTCATGGCCAGCTGGCTTTGAGATGGGATCAGAAGCATTACCCCCACCTAAAAGAACCCAAACCTGATCAAACTGCCACAGTGGTAATCAGCTGCGGTGCTCCTCCGAGGGTTGGTGTAGCGGAGAGTGAATGAAATTTGAAATGCCCCTTCTTTTCCTGAACTCTGAGATTACTTCAGAACTGTTCTAGCTGTAAGGCTTGGGCTAAAAAGACAAGAGAAGCACTACACTAACTCAGCCTAGGAGAGAATGACAACGTCTGTCCTGAAATCTGATACATCATAGCACCGTTTCCTTCTCCCCTTCGGTTTGTATCAATAATCTGTGCCTAAATCAAAATACAGAAAAATGAAGAACTGGGAAGGGAAAGGACATTAAGCATACAATATACCAGTGTATGCTACCTACTCCTAAAAGGAGGGGTTTTTTTATTAAAATCACCATCATTTCTTTACTGTTGTTTCCCGAGTCACTGTGATCTAAGAAATGAGGCTATTGACTGCTTCGAAATTCTGTGTTCACCTGGCTAACTGGATGTAAAGCCAATATTTGAAGCAGTATCTATTCCTCACTAATTACTGTAATACCTCCTTTTCCAGCACCCACAGTGTAAGTAACCTTATAGTTCAGTAATCTATACAATGTCCTCTCTTCTTCCAACTTAATTTAGTGCATGATATGCAAGTTTACTCTCACGTAGGACAGAAAACTGCATGTAAACTACGTGGCTAAAGCATTCTGGAAGCACAAAGAATAACCATAGCAGCTTGGAGCAACACAGATAGAGAAAATATGATATAGAAACACCTGATTTGCTGCCTGCTACAGGCCTTTATTAGGCTTCTTTAAGCTTAACACCCTGCTGCTGGCTGCAGCCAGCACGTATGCAAAGGAAAAGGAAACTACTACTTCCATGTGCCTCGCTAGCTGTACTTTACAGTGGAAAGGTATTTTTCCTCATTTTTATGGTGACTAGATTGTTTGGGGAATTATAAGACTAAGTCTATCATCCATCAGCTTATGTGACTTTGTACTAATGGTTTTAAAAATGACACAGCCACAGCACTTGGTTCTGTTCTCCTCCGTGAGATGATCCACACACATACACCACTGCTCCTGCATTTACTTTCTCAAGTCATCCCATTAATAGAGTGCAGAATAGTCCCTCAGACATTATCTAACCAACAGCTTCAGTAAATTCTTCTGTGTTCAGGCTGCATGGCGTTTGTCTCTTGTCCTTTGCACTCTTACCTCTTCTTAATTACTGTCTCCTCATGCACCCAGGAGAAGCTCTAGCCTGAACTGTACTCCTATCGATGCTACTGGCCACATCCACCCTGCTGATGGGACCATAATGTTTTTTCTCCTTTACTGTCAAGGCTTTTTTTTTTTTTTTTATGAGCTTCATTCAGATAAACAAAACGTATTCTGCTTTCACTGATGTGACAAACCTTGAGCTCTATGTGCTTAGCCAAAGTGACTGGAGCGTGCAAGACTGATTTTTGCCATTTTCTACTCCTGGTTCCACTGTCAGAAGAATATATTGCAACAGGCCCATGGAATAAACCAGTTTTGTTTCTTTTCAGATCTGCGCTGACCTCTTTAGATTAAACACGATGTCTCATCCTAAGTGACTCACTCCTGTATCTAGCTAAATTCAAACTGTCTTCTTTAAAGCCTGCAATCTAAACAATACATTTTATTGTCACAGCTACATGGACATTAGTTAAAACAACTTTACATTCTGAAAACAGCTACACGATGTTGCTTGTTTTATGTGGTTTTGGCAAGAACACAGCACTTTTTCTCTTTAAGCACTGCCGCCTCTTGCTCCCAAACACGGCTGCTGCGCTAACAATTAGCAGGTCAGGCCAGTACCGCTGCCGAAGAGTTTACAGAAAGCCATTCCTAGACATTGGCAGGGAAACAGATTCCTAATAAGGCAGCCAAAGCTACCCTGCGCAATGGGATGATACCCAGACATCGCATCAGACCAAGCTCATGAAGTTCCTGCAGAATCCTCTGCAAAACACAGCTCAGTTCTGCGACAGCTCTTGGTGTATTTTGTGCTCCTCCTGCCTGTGGACTCCCCTTTACATTCGACTCCCTAAAGCCTCCAAATGCAAACGTTCACACTGTGGGCTCGTCCCTCCGGAACAACCCAAGCAACTGACACACAGCGAGAGGACAAACTAATGTCCCAACCAAGCATACAAGGGCCAAGGCGAACATAAGCCCTCCTCCCTCAATAGAAGCAGCAAGGGGCAAGCAAGATCATCACCAGTTCCCATCCTTCCCAGTACCCTCTGCCCAGCTTGGGTCTCAGTGCCGAGCTTTCTCAGAAGTCCATCACCCTTAACAAGAAGAAAACTACTCTCTCTCCAGCTCCTTTCTTATAAATATTGTATTTTGCTACAATGTTTTTAATGATCTGCAATAATTTTCTGTGCTTCCAAGCCAGGATCTTAAAGTACCTAAAACCCCCTGACTTCCCTTCCTCTTTTGCAGTGAGTTAAAGAAAAAAACAGATGGACAGAGAAATTACGTGACTTCGAATCCAACTCTGTGCTCAGAAATCTAGACCCTGACTCTGTCCATGATAAACAAAGCAACCAGCTGGTGGGAGAACAGCACATCATTCTGAAAGACTGCACTATTAAATATCATCTACCCGACACCTTTGTTAAATGACATTTGAAATGGCATACATGTAGCCAAATCAACATAGCTTGCCAGCGATGCGCTCAGAGTTTCTCCCTGTCTACAAACCCAAGCTCAATCAGTTTTCTCTGTATCATTCGCAATTGCCTGTTACCATGAAGAGTGAAACGCTAAAAAGATTAAAACAAAATAAAAAAAGAACCACAACACAAGATGGCTCCCGCTCTAATCAGTAAAAATAGCTAGGGGAGCAGATAAGATTTCTGGCATGCTGGGGAGTAAAATTTAGACTGCATGCCACATATCCGTGATTAGATGTTCCCTGTTATTTTGCAGATATTCAGGCAAATGATCTTCACATGCACAAGTAGGTTGGTACATACTTATTGATTCTTGGATGGTACCCATAATTGTGATAATCAAGTTAGGTAAGTTACCATGCAAAAGCTTTGCAAAATGCATAACTTATATTTCTATCATTAAAGAGGACTTACCTTTAAGGACTCCCAGAGGGGAAATTGTACCAGAGAGAAAGGAATCTGGAGAGGCGGGAAAAGAAAAAAAAACCACAACAACATAATGTTACAAAAGCAAATTAGGTTGGCATGTTCCTCAACTGGCTAAATTAGGAACAGTTATTGTTCACTCAGTGAACTGCAGCTTATTATATTCACAAATCTTTAAGGACACTTTATGTACGCTGCCATTAAATGACTGGTTTCGCTAAAGCAGTTTTGCTTTGTTTATCACATTCCCTGCTGAGAGGTTAATGTATTGTTACCAAGGTGGCCTAGAAGAGCAATAAGCAGTATGATCTAGTGCAGGGACATTCTTGGTTTGACGCTCAGCCAAGAAAGCCGTAAGGATGGTTCAAGAAACACACTCCCAAGGCCAGGAACACAGCCTGGCAAAAAAAAAATTTCAGCAATACACACTCTCAAAAATGCTGAGCTGAAAACAGTTGTGCTCCAAACCAGGGCTTTGCAGTTTGGGCATCATCTGTAGAGAGAAACTTTTCTGAACATCTCCCAGTGATCTCACATTAACAAGCTCCCTAGAGAATTAAAAGCAGGCTGCGAAGAGCTACCGCAACCCAACCAAAACCCAAGGGAGATGCTTGGTGGTTCTCTTCTCATCACTTTGAACAAGAGGTTCTTCTGTCCAGCAACAGCCTGTATCTCTACCCAGGCTCATTCCGGCTGCCATGTGTCCTTAGCAGCACCTGTACATTTCTAGCTCATTTACAGATTTTGCCCTGATAAACACCCAGTGACCAGCTCTCTTAACACACAGAGGTAAAAAAGCAAACACGTGTCCCTGATAGCTCTGTAGGCTGTGTAGGGCTAACCCACGTAATAAGTCAGTTTTCACCATGAACAGAGTGATTCTTTGCGACAACAGACACCACTTTCCAAGGTTATGCCTTCCCTTATAGTTTCTTCCTCCTCCAGTCTCTCCATTGAGTTCTTCTGGCTCTTCCTCCCCGCTGACTCTGAAAAGCCCTGTCCAATATCCACCCCCGGTACGAACCCTGCCTTTGCTACCTCCAGCCCAGGTATCTATCTCAAGGAGGAAGGAGTCCCTATGAAAATACTAGCCTGTGCCAGAATTGCCCTACAGCTGCGTCTGCAGGTCTACTTTGCCCCTTCCTAAAAGCTTCTGCGGTTATCTCCTCCACTTCAGCAGCCAGTCAGCCCCAGTTTCAAATCTTCTTCCAAGTATCTGTTTTCTCCTACCCTTATCTTCCTTCCCCACGCATGCTGCATGTCGGATTAGTTTTCCCCCTTGTGTAGGCTGATTTTGTAGTTTGTGCATCATTTTATTAGTCTCAGCACTTACTTTTGTTTTGCCATAAAAAGTAGTACACGCTCAAAATGGGTCACACTCAACTAATACATAAATCTTTGCTCTTCGTAATGTCGGGTTAAAAACATTCACTACAGAGATATGAATGGCTTATTAAATCCAAATTCAAGCTACACACAGGAATCTGAAATGGTACATCCATTCAACATTACAGGAGTTAAAGAGTATTGTCTGCTTCATTGTGTTGCAACTAATGATTAATAAATGAGTCTATTAAGTTAATCTGCCAGGCAAAACTAAGCTTGACAGACACCTGCCACAGAAAATTTGTTATCTATTCAGGCAGGAAATGGCAGTGAGAAGAAATCAATGTCACCGCTGTACGCTGAGCTGACAAACTGAAATCTCAGAGGAAGTTTGTCATCTTGAGCAATGAGCAATATCCCTGGTGGCATCTCAGAGCCCCACAATAAAGGTCAGACACAGCTCTTATTTATCAGGGCCTTGAAACTCTAGTGTAGCAATTAAATTTTGGTTTTAATACTGGGTGAGAAAGTCCAGCTATTTGACAGTAATGCGTGGTAATATATTTATGAGAAGATGTATATGTGTCTCCACATGCTGCTGCATCACTGTTGAACCGGAGTTAAATGGCATGATTTCTTTGCAATGGAAAATGAAAAGCAACACAATCTTCTATTATCTAGGCTAAAAAATAGAAAAAAAAAAAAAAAGAAACAATACCCACTACATTTGCTTCAAATTTGTTAAGAGAGAAAAGGAAATGCTCTGTATGCAGCTGTACACCAAACAAAACCAGCTTTCAAATACAGTTTCCAAATTTTGCTTTTTTATATGCGCAAATGAGTGGTAAAATTACGCAGCTGTTAATAAGACAGCAATGGAAGCTTTTGACATAAACCCCTTTTTATCTCCTAGCTAGAAGCATTTCAGTCAAAGAGTGCATTTGCTCACGACTGCTGTTTGATTTTCGGCGTTAGTGGTGTTTGCTTTCTGTGTCCCGCTCAGCAGGGACCAGAACTGGATGGGGATTATTGGTTTCACTTTTCCCCGTGCACCCCACGAGATACTGCAATGCGCAGGCTACCAAAGATTTCGGATGTATGTCCGTGGGATCTGCACAGCCGTGGGGCTCCCTCCTCTCTAAGACGCCTTCAGGAGAAGGGCCTAAACATTCGTAAGGCACACTTTAATAGAGTTTGAAAACTTGCAGAAGACAAACTAGGAAGCACCACCAACAAAACCAAGCAAAGCAGCACCTTTGCCTGCACTAAGAAGACCTTAACGAGATGTCCTCAGTTTCTTACAGTCATCCATTGGAGCCTGTTTGACAACACCCTGACTTAAAAACAAAATCCACACAAGCAATTTCATGGGTACTGGAATGAAAGGGAGTCTGGCTTCCTGTGGATTTGGTTTTTAGTCATCAGATTCTCTGAAGCCAAATAATTTCCAAGCCAGGGTCAGCGATCTTCCCGCGACAGGGACGTCCATCACATTTCCTCTCGACATCTACTCCACAGCCCCTATTGAAAGTTCAGTTCCTATGGCAAACATTTCCTCAAACCCCTTAATCGCCTTTTTTCTAGCCTCACACATATTTTCAAGAAACTTTATCTCTGCAGCCTCTGCCTTTCTGCCACATTTCCACAGCCAACATGTCCAAGGGCTGCACAGGCGGCTGTGTGCTGGTGTGTGCATACACCCTGTTTGGATAAGCCTTGTTTCCCGAAGAGACCAAACAGCCCACACCCAAAAGTAGAATTAATATATGCAAAAAGAAATAGCTCTGCAAGAGTAACTCATCCAGCAATGAAAAAGCCTTTAGATGGCTTATTGCCCTCTATTCCTCTACCACGACAGATGTGACAGAATCTCGTCGTTGGGGACACTTCTTAATTTCATTTACAGCATTTCATTCCTTTTCATATTTTGCTTCTTAAAAGAAAAGCTCTTCAGCAATGAACAGAATCACACCCTGCCAGGCAGCGGTATTTATGCCTGAAATAGGCTAAGGCAACAATAAAAATATGGTCCACACATGTGGGTAACTTTCTGCCAGCAAATATGAAACCCTGGCGAGCTCCACAACCTCTCATTCGACATTAATATAAAATAGACAGAGCGCACCAGTTCTCATGTCTGGCCTGATGTTATATAACAGTGCTGTTTGTTCAACAGAGTCAACTCTTACACCAAAAAAAAAAAAAAGTTTAAAGCTCCCAGACAGCTGTAAATCATTATGCTAAAATGTTTTATAGGTTAGTGAAATTATCATTTACTCTGGTCCCTGTAGTCCTTAGCACCTGATGCCTAAATTAATGTAATGAATGTTGCAGATTCTTATTTTTAAAGATCTACCTAATTCCCCTGATACAGAGGGATTTTAAAAGATTATTTTTAATAAGTTCCTTCCAGAAATAGTTGCACCTCCCAGCCAGAGCAACAGATACCCACATCTTACTTCTAAAAAAAATACCAACCTGCAAGTACTGAAGATTGATGACAGAGCAAAAGTCCTCCCACCAAATACTGCTTGATTAAATAAAAGACATTTAAGGAGGAGTTTAATGATACTCTTTGTAACTACAACACAACATTGTAAAGTAACTCAAAATTCACTGGTTCAGTATCTGACACTAAATTGCAAGCTGACATTGTCCTGAGGGAAACACAGCAGCCAGGGAGCAAGGAGAACATGCTGAAGGAGTGGCAAAGAAGGGGGAAAGAACCAAAAGAAAAAAAAAAAAAAACAGCACCCCTCACCAGCCTCTTCAGAACTGGGATTCCCTTCCAAATATGAGAATTCTTTCACACAAAGAGGAAACAGATGTCCACGGCTGGAATTTGCATGTGGCTTTATTCTCTTCTAGGATACAATAAAACTACTCTTCTTCTCATCCTCCGAGCTAGAAATTAAACAGTGGCATGTCATGCATAATCCAGCTGTGCTTTCTACAGCCAACCTTTATTAGCAATATATTTAAAAAGAAGAATAAAAGAGAGAGACAGAAAGAAAGGGAGCAACTAGAAAAGCATAAGAAATGAAAAACTATGTGGTATGTGTTCTCAAAACAATATAAAACCTACAGATGTTCTTACTAATCTGTGGCACATGTTTGTTTATTCAGGTTTTCTCTGTCTCCAGTTCAACGGGCTTTGCTCTCCAGAAGAGCTATCTGTTTTTACAAACGTTAGAGCAAATACTGCGGGAGAGATTGGCATAAACAACCAGAGGAGGAAACAGGCTCACCTTGTAAGAGCTTTCTCAACGTTCCTGAAACCATACCTCCGTCCCAGAAACTGCTCTCACCCACACCTCCGCTGTTCCCTACGTTAACAGCCACGGGAGAAAAGCCAGCAGTTACGAGGAGAATTTTGACAGCATTAATACCACAAAGGCCAAGGGCAAGAACATCTGTTCCCTTCAGGGAGAACGTACTGCAGTCATCACGGAGTAGTTCTCGAACTTGCACCTAACCTGTCACTCGCACACACTGTGACAAGGCTGACAGAGACGCTACCCCTGCTGAAGCCTGTATTTATAAGGAGTACTCCACCAGTGTCTGAGCTGCAGCTGCCAAACTGCGCCTTCTCCATTGTAATCGCAAAGAAAAGTCTAAGAAGCCAGTTCTGAGTATCAAAAAATACACTGTTTTCCAAGGATACATAAACCACAAATTTCAGAAGAACAATCTTCCCTTTACCTAAG